TGCATACATATACTTTCTGTTTATATATGTGATGTAATATTTACTGCACGGTTTTCATCAAATATATTGTCAATTATTTTAACATGATCCAGTTTATATGTAAATTGACTGTAAAACATGGCGCACGTGAGTGGACAATCAAAACAAACAGGTCTCATCTGATGATTGTGATTTTTTTTTTTTTTTTTTTTATTTGGAAAAATGTGCGATATTTTGAACGGATCCGGAACTTTAACTGCGAAAACGACGGTTGACGTAGAAGAACGTGAACTTTTCTTAATGGCGTTAACGCTGTATTTAAGTTGTTTTTATTTATAGATAGACTGTAATTTGGACACATTTAACAGTGATGTGTGTTTGCACCAGTGTGTGTGTGTGTGTGTGTGTGTGTGTTCTCTAAAACAACAGCCTAATTCATGTGTGTAATTCACGTTAACGGCCGTCATGTGCTAAAAATGTGGATCAACTCAGCGTCTTGTGATTTCCTGTGTGTGTAAATGTGTGTTTCCGTTAATGCACACGACTGTATGTGTGTATACTGTATATATATATATATTTTTTTTTATGTGTGTGTGTGTGTGTGCGCCAGACTCAAGTTTGTGTCGTGTTGCTTTCGCTCGGCTGTGCTGAAGTGAAACGAAGTGACACAATGGAGGTTTTAGAGATTGGGGGCAGCGTGTGTGTGTGCGTGTACATTTTTGCGTAACACACCAATAGAATCCCAGATGCCATATTATATATGTTCCCTCTCCCTGTCTTTTTTTTTCTTTTTTTTTCATGTCACATGTGAGCGCTTTTGGGCTCACAGTGCGTTCACTAACTGACCTACATTTCTGGAGCTTTCTTTCTCTTCCTCCATCTCTTTTCTTTTCTTTCTTTTCTTTTTTTTTTTTTGCCTGTGGCTCAGGAGACTTTGTTACCCTTATCTCATCCGACCAATCACGTTCACCCAATTTTTATTTGTTGAGCTGCCTCCTCTCCCTCAGTGTGCTGCAGATATCCATCCATCCATTTGTTGTTTTTATTTTCATTTTTTCCATTTTTTTTTTTTTACCAAGGGAGACATTAGCGCCCCCCCTCTGTGAGATATTAAAACCATCCAAATAGCGGCCAGCTGTGTTTAACTTTAGCTCTCCCTGTGCTGATTTCTCACCCTAATTATTTCCCCCTGACATTAAAGAAGAGCTCTATTTCTGTGCAGCCGCAGCCGCGGAGAGGGAGAAAAAAAAATTGAAGCTTTTGAAAATTCTTTGAAGCTCTCCAGTTTTTGTTATCAAAGCTGCCTCTGCAGGCCACATCAATGTTGCATGTGCAGGTTTAAGGGAACGTGCGTGTGCGCGTGTGTGTGCGTTACCATTTCCTGTACTGTAGTAATTCAAGAGGCGAGGACAATGGAAGTTAGCAGCCGCCTGGTGGCCGCCTGTCAAAGTACAGCGTGGACACAGTGGATTGATTCTGATTGGACAGATATTTTTTGTAGCTTTAAAGAAGATGAGACAAAAAAAAAAAAGTGCGTTTGGTTCATTTGCACCTTGATGATTCTCCAGGTTTAATTCAGGCTCTGATTGGTCAGGGCTGCAGCTCCGCTGGGCATTGGACCAGGAATAAACACAGACGTGTTTCTCTGCTTGGCCTGGTTTCAAAAAGTTGTGTGTGTGTGTGTGTTTCTCAGTGTGTACCTGTCGTGTTGACGTCGCCGCCGTTGTCACCATCGTCCCGTAGAGGGCGCTCACTGCAATTTGTAGTTTCACGTGACTTCAGTTGTTTCTAGTTTTAGGCCAAAACAGTTCAAACATGAATTCACAGATTTACACAAAAAGGGATATTTCACTTTTTTTTCCAGGTGTTTTTTTTTTGGGGGGGGGGTGTTTCATATCGGAGTATTGGCCTTTAGCATTTTTGTTTAATTGATTGTATTTTAAAAAATTAATATGTGAAAAATTTGTCAGATTTGAATGTGCACACACACACACACACACACACACACACGCTCCAGTGTCTTTGTCTCCGTTTCTCGTCTGTCGGCCTAGATTTCCATTTTGTGGAGGATGGGGGAGGAAGAGTCGGGCGGAGTGTGTGTGTGTATATATACGTATATACATATATGTGTGTGTGTGTGTGAGTGTGGTCAGGTTGAATGTTGCAATATATATTTGTGTTTCTATGTATGCGGTTGCTAAGCAACAGCAGAACAAGGGTATTTACAGTTAATAAAAACGGAGTGACATTAGCCTGCTGTATTAGAAGTAATGTGTTTTATTGCTTTAAGATCAGAGACGTGTGTGTGTGTGTGTGTCAGTGAGAGAGAGAGAACGAAACCTTTGTGTATATTAACTAATAAATGCTTCACATTTTGTATAGGTTTCTCTCTCTCTCTTTCTCTCTCTCTCTCTCTTCCTCTCTCCGTGTGTGTGTGTGTGTGTGTGTGTGTTAGCCGATTATAATTGTTCACTCAGCCTTGTCTTTGTAGATGTTTTGTCTTGTTATTGTTTGTTCTAAGTCCAAAAAGAGTCAGCGTTCGCTTCGGCCTTGTCTGCTGCCTTTGTGTGTCTGTGTGTCTGTGTGTGTGTGTGTGTGCGCACCAACCTTTGTGGGTGTGTTTTTAAATAATGAGCTTCCTTGTCATTGTCAGGATGTATGCGCTGTGTGTGAAAAAACCAACAATATAAAATCCTAACTGGTCTTTGAACGCACCACTTGGAGCAGCAGTCTTCTTCTTCTTCTTCGTCTTCTTCTTCGTCTTCTTCTTCGTCTTCTTCTTCGTCTTCTTCTTCGTCTTCTTCTTCGTCTTCTTCTTCGTCTTCTTCTTCTTCTCCTTCTCCTTCTTCTTTTTCTTCTCCTTCTTCTTCTCCTTCTTCTTCTTCTTGTTCTTGTTCTTCTTCCTCTTCTTGTTCTTCTTTTTCTTCTCCTTCTTCTTCTCCTTCTTGTTCTTCTTCTTCTTTTTCTTCTCCTTCTTCTTTTTCTTCTCCTTCTTCTTCTTCTTCTTCTTTTTGCTTCAGTGTTTTTGTGGTAACGGGGAGGGGAGGGGGGGGAGAACAGTGTGCAGTAGTAAAATACGCCTCCAAGGGGAACAGAGTCATCGCTGACTTTTATGGATTCTCGCTCCTTAAACCAGATAAAAACGATACTTCAAACACGTCAGTGTTTTGTTTTAAACGTTTCATTTCAGACGGACGACGTCGTTTGATGTTTGGATGTTAAACATGTAACAGTGTCTGTATCACGTGTTTCCTTTTTTTTCCTCAGGCTTTGAAAGCATCTTGGAAGGCTTGTTTGGGCCGGGACTAGTCAAAGACATCACTCTTTTTCAAGGTAAATATTCAGAGAAATGTTTTAATTAACCTTTATGATGATGATGATGATGATGATGATGAGGAGGAGGAGGAGGAGGATGATGATGAGGATCGTTTTTATTATCGTTATTATTAGGACTGTCTGATAATATTGTTCAACCTATGTTATCGGCCGATATTATGTAATATCGCTAAGAATAGTTTTTTCTCGGATAATGAAATTAAAGTGAAATGAAGTGTTTGAAATATTGGAAGTCCTTAATTAATATTATTATTATTATTGTTGTTGTTGTTATTTATAACTTCACTTAAAAGGCTACCTTTAGCTAATGTTGCTAATGATGTAAACATTGGAATTATACCAGCAAAAAAAAAACACATCTGGACTGATGAACAAACCCAAGAAAATCCGACCAATCAGACGTTGTAAACAAAGTACAGTTTTATCTCAGATACAGATTGTTATTTATTTATTTATTTATTTAAGCGCTCAAACAAACACGTCTGTTTTTTTTTCTGCCAGGTTTACGGAAAATATTATACATCAAGATTTATTATTATTGTTTGTTTTATAATAGTTTTTTTAAAAAATATATATATATATTATATATGAAATATAATTTCACTATAAGGTTAGTTACTTGTTTGTAATAGAGAAAAAGACTGTGACGACTTCAGAAATCACGTCATTTTATTGGATTTAAAATGTAGTTAAAATCCCAGAACAAAGTCCTTTTTCAGTCCGATCTAAAATCTCCTCCTAATTGAACTGGGATTTATTTTTTCTATTACTGTCATTCAGTCGACACATAATTAGAACATAATCCAATATTTAAACCTTCACCAAAATCACATCAATTATTACACGTTTCGACCGTGACAGGAGAACCGCGGCCGGCCTCTGATTGACCTCCACAGTCAAGAAACGATTCTTTATCTGTTTGATTCAGTCAAACGGATCGGTGTCTGTTATTAAAGCTGTTCTTCATGTTAACAGTGAGGGCTGTTTACACCC